CATTCCAGTTAGATGAATGACTTCGTTGTATGCAACTTGCCAGAACTTAGTGGTGTAGTAAGGGGAACACAAGTCATAAAGTGATTTTTTCTTTGGCCAGGCTGCTTAGGATGCATGTGCATACGGTATCTATCGCATTTGAAACTCTTTACATGAGCATGTGTTGCCAATAAGGTCGACAGTATACATGTTTGTGCCACACCAACCTTTAACACGAGTTCATCCAAGTGACGTACTTGTAATGTTGCACCGATGTCAAATGATTTTCTCAATTTCCCTTCTATATTTGGTGTCAGGCATTCTGACATTTGGTGGATACAATTCTCCTATAAAAAAAATCACTGTTGCATCAACGATCTAATGTTGTCGACCAAAGAGGTTATAAGGAAATTCCGTTGTTGCCTGAGGATTAAATTAAGGGACTCTGCATTGTTGTTTGTCATAATATTATACTGGTTACCACCGAAATTTGCACGTGACATTGACAATATACCAACACATTCCAAATAAGAAACAACTGCTGGTTGGATGGTTCTATCTGTCCCATTAACTTTTATCGAATTCTGATATGCGGTATGCTAGCGTGCAAGCTTGTGTAAGAACACGACATTGCTACTGCTATACTTAGCGATAAGATTTTTTTCTATATGCCACATGTAGGAACCTTGGTGAGAAAGCGGGTACAACTTGGATATTGGCCGCTTAATGCACTTCCTCCTATCTGGTACAAACACTAGCTATTCTGAGTTGTCAACTACATCTTTCAATTTCGTGAAGAACCAATTCCACGATGTATTTGTTTCCCCATCGACAATCCCCAAACAATAAGATATATCTACAAGTTGGCATGTTAAGCTGCAACAACTAATAGCGTTCCCTTGTACTGGCCCTTCAAATGACTCTCATCAACACAAATAACTGATCTCATGTAATCTCGAAAGCTAAGTATACTCGTCCCGAATGCTAAAAAGAAGTACAAGAACCAGTTATTGCTGTTGAGCTCAATGTGTGCGGTGGTTCAAGGGTTTTTCTCAGTAACATATGGTAGTATGAAGGAAATTTTTGAAAACTCTCTTCAAGTGAACTGCAAAGCCATTCAAGACCCTTCTCTTTACCCCTTCCAACTTTGTTATAGCTAATTTGTACATCGAACTCACGTTCAATATCCCTGATAATACCCCCCGATGGTTGGTTTGCATCATCCAATTGTCGTATTATATGTTGCCCAATTAGGGCACTGGTTGCATGCATGCGAGCATTTCGTAGAACATCTAAATAACATGTATGCTCAGGTATGCACCTCTGTATCTTAAATATATCTTTTTTTTTTTTTTATCTTGGAAGCTCGTAATAACCAATGACAGTTGGTTTCCACACAACATACAATGAGAGATCTGGTATTCGACTTTTTAACTTTGAAATGAAACTTCTTAATCAAAGCATGTAGTCGAAGCCTTGTGTGTAGTTGTTTGTTGCTAAAGAAGATTTGATTCTCGGAAATTTCTCATTCATCTTTTGATTCATTTGCATCTTTAATATATGGATTTCCTTCAACTAGACCGACATTCGTATCTGGAATCATTCGTGGCTCTTCTAGTTCGAACATGCCAACTTCTTCATGCCCATACAATGCCTCTTTTATTGGTGATAAATGATCAACTCTGACATTCACCTCTTGCTCTCCGACATCATATTGTGTGTGAACATAAATGTACCATTGCAAATCCTAATCATCGACTACATCAGCGGAGGGTATATTCATGTTCGGAACTTTAAATTTTAGGTGGATTCAAAATTTCATTTTGTCAAGATTAAGCTTTTCTAATAATTATTGACAAGCTCTTCATATCTAATATCACTTCGAATAACAATTGATGTTGTTTGGTTCTCAAACCACTGCCACTCATCCTCCATATTGACTAATGTACCACCATGCGAGACAACAAATCTCATAACATCTCTCGTATCTGCATGTCATCAAGGCAAATAAGATTAGTTAATACGAATATCTAAAACAAACATGCTACTCGTAAGCAATATCGTCAATGGCAAACGCAAAATTTCATAGCTTTGCCAAGTTTGTAACATAATCTCGAAATTTGAAACAATGTCAACAATTACATTTGAAGTATCATTCCCGACATTTATAAAATGTTGAGAACGATACGTTAGTCAGACACTTCACCATATACATTTATCATCTTTTTCAACTTCAATAACCCTTTTTGCAAGGAATTTATTCCACCATTAATGACCTTGTCAATTTATGACAACCATTGCAAATTCAACTATCAAAGTTCTTGAAGTAGGTTGTGACACCATATTTGAGAAATACAAAACAATAAATATGAATTTAATTTTAAAATGCTCCAATAATCTTACAACAAATATCTACTAATTTTTTGAAAAATTTAATCATCTATTTACATCATATATATCACAACAACTATTAAACACAACTTATCAGCAAAAATAAGATTTCGAAGAAAATTTACCTTCTATAGAGAATAGTGGATGGGATTAAAATTCTCGAAACGAAATTATATGATTTTCTTATGAATTAGAATCGTGTAAATTTTTTATGTTAATGATTTTTCTATTTCATCATTTTCATTTCTACCCAAAATCATTGGACGTTACCTAATAGATAATGAAAAAAATTAACCCATTAGTATTACCTTGCATCAATGTAGCTTCTTAGGAAGCTATTTCTTTTTCTAGAAATTTGTAACAAATTGAAAAAAAAAATGTTTCATTTTTCATTAAGTGTATAAAAGACAATTTGATATCAAATTTGATCATTTTTGTAAGAGTTATCAAAATTAAATACTTTTCAATTGATAAGCATGTAATTAGCCGTTTTTGAAAATTCCCCATTCCAAGGCAAATGTTTTCAAAATTAATTAATTATTAAAAAAATTTTAAAAAATTAAATGCATCCTTAATCTTCCTTTTATATTTATCTTAAAATTGGGATAAAATTCTGTACATCATTAGAAACCGTACAATCTGAATTTTTTTTCTTCTAAGACTTGATTTGTTTTAGTATGTTAATGCAATATTTTGTTAAAGCACTAGAAGCGTATTTGTGAAATATCCTCTTGAAATAACATGATTGAGGTTCTTATTAAATAGTTACAAGGAGAAAAAGAAAAAGAAAAAAGAAAAAAAGGAGTGTTTTGTAGATATCAGTATGCCTCATTTTCTTTTATGGGTTTTGTTTAAAGAGAACTTGAACGTTGAATGGAGCAACATCTTGAGAAAATCACCATATCACCTAGTGTATGCTTTTCCCTGTAGTAGGCCTGTGTAAGTAGCAACGTTGATAATTTTCTGTGGCTAAAGAGGATCGTGTGTGCAATAGAATACTCTAATTACCTCATTATCTTTACACTAATAGCAGTTTCACGAGGATCGAAATTTTGCTTCTACTACAAAATTTCCGTACTGATTTCTCTTTAATAGTGCGTGCATATAGGATTTTAACAATCAAGGTTAGTGATTTACATTTTGTAATACTCCAATGATCTGAAAATTGTAGAAATTTAAGTTGTGTTTCATAAATGCACAGATCAAGAAAATTCAACGTGATTTCTTTAGGAGAAAATGTGAAAGTTTTCTTGGTCATTTCTGGTGCACAATCTTCAATTTTTCAAGTAGGCTAAGTGAAATAAAGATGTAGCGAACTGTTGATTGTGCAAATAATGAAGGCCTTAGTCGGGCGAAATCTATAACATGACTAATCGATTCATCAGGTTCCAGAGGTAAGACCATGTTGTCTCGTGCAAGTTTATATAAGTTCACTGAATAGGCAAGTGACTACGTTTGTGTGTGTACATTATTTCATGTGTAGTAAGCTAAATGTTGAAATCTTAAGAGTGTTGAAATAAAACTAGTATTTATTTTATCAGGTACATGAATTCATGGAATATATAGATTTTATGGCAATTCTATGATTTTATTTTAAACAAAGAGTTAAAAGATTTAACTCTCAATAATGTGTTTCATTAATATTTTAAAAGAGGTGTAATTTCGTGACTAATCTGCATAATTTTATTTACATCCCATATGTAACTCCTGTGAGTAATAGTAATATTATTATAGGAAGAACAAGCTCCAAATTACTTCCTTCCTTGGCAGAACAAGCCCCAGCATGAAACCATGGGAACTGAATTGTATTTTCGTTCGTTGATTGCTTGCTTGCCTCAAATTGAAGAAATTGGCTTTAATTATAATAGTAGAGACCATATATTTACTCAATTCGAGCGGTAATTTTTTAAATGTTGGGGTGTTTAAAATTTTATATAGATACACCTTATATTTATTCTTAGTCGTAAAATTGACTTTTTGAGCGAAGTGTTCAGATTAAATACGAAGATTGCACGTAAAATACAAGACTTTCATGGATGCATTTGCCCAAACGTATTACTAAAAATCAATATCAAAAATTTCGTGTGTTTATCTTATTAAACTTAGATATGTGATATTCATATTTTTGGAAATTTTAGAAGATTTTGCAGATATGCAGTTGTTCAAATGAAGAATAAAAACTTTGCAAAGTGATGATACCAAATTATTGTCCATGAGGGATATAAATAAATTGCAGTCCGAGATGGACTTACATAAATCTTCGAGGGGAATAAGTTTAAACCCATAAGGGAGTCACCTCCAAAAGTAACCCAACCTTTGTGATTGGAGATTCCATAAAGAAGGCTCAATGTGGTAGAAACAACTCGAATTGCATGATTTGTAATATTTTCTATTAGTGGTATCTAGTATTTGTATTTCAGACGTGCCCTCATAGTTGAAATATGTTTTAAAAAAGGGGAATTGATTGGGTGGCGTTTAATGTTACAAACACTAATCTTATTTTATATATTTATATACCTAATTGGAAAAAGAAAATACAAATTATGACCACAATCCAATATGAATGGGTACAACCAAAATTGAAAATTATACAAACTGTAAATCGTGAATGTTGTTGAAGAAGCACATATTCAAATTGCACGGGCTTTTACAATGTCAAGGCTCATTTCACTTGGATCTGTTGCCTGCAATTCAACTTGAATTCCATCCAATTCCCGCTTAAACCTGTCCTTTGAACTTGCATACACCATCTTCATTCTAACTTTTGAGGTATCTGGCGACTTATTAAAAGATAAATTGAATTCGAGTACGGTGTCAACAAAACCCTATTGCCCTTAAGCTTCAAGTTTGTTGAACTTCGTTTTTTCGTCGAAAAACTCCTCATCCATCTCCTATCTCATTTCTACTTTCGAGTGCAACATGCAGTAACGTAATATATATCCGTTAAATTAGATAAAATAAGATACGAGAACTGACCTATTCTTCTTTAATTCCGTCTATTCAATATTCTTCTTTAATTCCGTCTATTCAATCAACCATAACTAGTACGTCTTAGGCTGCTTATTAAGCCCCTATTTGGCCACCATTCCTTATAACTCATTTTTTGTTGACCACACATGTTATGGGACCTACAACTTTTATCAACTTTCAAGCACACATTTCATCAACTTTTATCGAAATTTATTAAAAATCTAATTTTTATCCAACCCATACAGATGCTAAATGAGACGATTTACGACTTACAAATAATTTGAGTGTCTTACCACGCGATAAAGAAAATCTTGCTTTTCTGGACATTTTCGTCAGTCGTGAAGTCAAAGTCGTAGACAGCATAACGACATTCATTAGCCGGCAAAGCGGCTGTGAAATCATCGTAGGTGTCGTCTGGATTGCCAAGTTTATCCACCACAACCTGCTGACCCTCAATACTGAAGATAATGTAACGATGGTTTCTCTTTGCTTTTAATTCCAGAAATTTCAGCTTGCACTCATCTTGCACTGCCATTCCGGATGCAGCATTCGCCTGCCCCCACAAAATATTAATAAGAAGCCAAGAAAGAAAAAATAAATAAAATGAAAGAAAGCTAACACAAAATAGGGCCACTCGATATTATAATCATCTTCGATCAACTCAACTAATAATACGATGTATCCTATTGTAGGATAATTAGTACAAGTCTGTCACTGTTCAAGCCATATCTCTTGCACAAATAAGTTTTTTCTTGATAAATTGAAGACCGACTATATGAATCATTATGCATACATTGCAAAGATAAAACAAAACAAAACAAATTAATTTGCATGAAATTAATAAACCCTACAATTTATAACTGTTAAAAAAGCAATTATTTACATATAATAAAACGAAATCTTAAATTCTTCTAACTGAATTCAAATATGAATCCTTCATACAATTTCCACCAATATGCAATTTCCTATCATATGTAATTTCGCAAAGAAAATAATTTGTATGAAATTAATAAATACCCACAATATATAGTTGACAGAATCAATTATTTACATATCATAAACCAAAGTCTTGACTTCTTTTAAATGAATTCAAATATGAATCATTCTTACAAATTTCAATCAACATGCAACTCCACAATACAATTAATTTGCTTGAAATTAATAAATACCCAACATGATTTCGAAGAAAATAAATAAATACCCAACAATTTCATGATTTTCAAAAGCTACGATTCTTTATGAAAAACATTCTAATAATTTCTATCAATATGAAATTAATAAATCCCCCAGAATTTATAATTATCAAAAACAATCATTTACAAATAAATATTACATGCTTCTAGATGAATTCAAATATGAATTATTCATAGAAAGGTGGGGTAGGGTAGAATACCATCGTGTCTTCCAAATAGGGGTAGAAAAAACTGCAAAATGATGAGAAATAAGGAGGAGAAAAATAGAGATACTATGGATCCTTGAAATAAGGAAAATAAATGACAAGTTGGGGTGTTTATAAAAGGGCAAAAAATTGCGGGGAATGCGAGAAATTCGAGGGATAAAATAAGGGTTAAGAATTCTCTTATCCCATTTTAGGTTGATAACTTCCCTCCCTTAACCAACTCTTTTTTCTTTTCTTAAAAAAAAATATAGATAATATTTAAAAAGGAATGATTGATGAAAAAAATTTGAATACCGATTTTACCCTTATATATTTAACTATAGGCCCAATATACACTCACCCGATGTCCATTTTTCCATGTGTAATTATATTAGCACCATAAAATTTAGTTACTACACCACATTATAATCAGTATTCTAAAAAGCGTAAAGCGTGACTAAACGTGAAGGTAGGGATGACAAAAAAATTCGACAAACCCGATACCCGCGGGACCCTGTCTCGAACGGGGCGGGGATAACCTGTTTAATCGGATATTTGGAGCAGGGACGGGGAGGGGAATTTTGCCCTGGGGCGAGGACGGGTAATAGGTGCCCCGTCTCGTTAATTTTTTTTATTTTTTAGAATACAATACTTTAAATGAAAATTTTCACGAAATTTCATTAGTTCTAATAGAAAATAGCAACTAAAATTATTTGTTTTAATCTAATGAATATGGACAATAAAAATAAATTATCAAAAACTAAAAAAAATAAAAATTAAACGGGTAGTAAATAGGGCAAGGCCCCCGCCCCGCCTTGCCTTAAACGGGTAACGGGGTGGGGAGGGCCCCCCCGCCCCTNTATGAAGTTGGAGATAATCAATGTTCTAAAAAGCTTGCAGTGTGGCTAGGCTTGGAGGCCAAGTTTCAAGCTTTACGAGCCTAGGCGAAGTTTAGGCGTAAAAAAGTATTTTTTTAGTTTAAATTTTTAATTATTGCAAAAAAATTCCACAATTCAAATAACACATACCAAAAATCTAAAATTATAAAATATTGTATTTACTTAATAATTCCTACATAAAGAGTTTCAAAATCATAATTACATAACATAGGCTAAACATGTTAAATTATATGTGCAATGATTGTATTTGTTTTTTGACATGTAAAACACATATTTAATTCTTTAATGATTGACATGGTTTATTTTTCTATACAATTAAATGCGCAATGATTGTATGAGTCTTGTGACTTATTTTACCTTCGAAAGATTGAAAATAAGTTAGACATAGTGTTTATCATAATAGAGTTCGATAGGGATTAGAAATATACTGCTATGATTTACGTAATCTTTAAATATTCATAACAATTTAATGCATTTTTTCATGTCCCTATCAGTCGTAGAAATATAGTCGGGTTACACATAAGAATATGTTTAATTCTATTCGAGAAAGATTATTAAACAAATTTGGAATATTGATCTTCATAATTGAATTGTGTTGTCAAAATCAAAGATTTAGAATTAAAGGGGAATGATATAAGGGGACTCAGAACCCTGGTGCGTCTTTATCCTGATATTTTTATCAAACTTGAATTTATTTATCATTTTGCATTTATTTTGGTTAATTTAGTATTTTTTTTAATACATAAGCAATTTAGTTGGTTACAATTTAGTCATTGAAGAAAATCACAAACGTTCATTGTTTCGATTAAGGTGAAATTAATTGCAATTAAACTATAACAATCTCAATGGGTACGATACTTGAACTCAAGAACCATTATATTACCTGTTATGATCCGTGCACTAGCAGTATTCAAACGAACACATAAAACGTCAACAAATGACATGTTCATGACATGATCAGATAAATCACTTATCAATAAACAACTAATTTGAACTTTGATGTAACTTACAATAGAAAATAATCACTTAATAGCCTAACAAGAAAACCACGACATGTGATCAATTGAGGTCACATGATTAGGCATAAAACAATTGTCATTGACAAGTGGTGACACTGTAGATTTATACCCAAAGGTAAGGGTGCGTATGGTTTGCTGTTTTTAAACTGATTTTAGTTTTCAATTTTATAAAACACTAAAAATGTATTTCGTGTAGTATTTTTGAAAATGCGTTTTCGAAAATAAGAATAAAATTATANTAGAAGTAAATTATTGTTGGAATTAGTAACTAGGCAAATTAAATAAGGGTATATTAGTAAAATAACAAAACATAACATTCCCAATTAAGAAACAGTCATATATATTTGGGACAAGAAAAAAAGGAAAGCCAACCTATATATATGGGACGGAGGGAGTAATATAAAATTCAAAATATATTTTTCACATTTTGAGTGTTTTCAGTTAAAATTCTGAAATTACTCAAAACATGGAAAACAAGCACTTAAATAAATTTTGAAAAATTAAAAATTTTATAAAATACAAATAAAATTCTAACAAATAAGAATTTTAAAATTTTAATTATAAAATTGATAAATTCTATAATTAAAAAAAAAAATTGAAAACATAAAATGTAAAATTCTAGAAAAACTAAATACTAAAAAATAAATTTAAAAAATAAAAATTCAAAAATAAAATGGATCATGCTCAATGATTATTTACACCAAAATTCTAAAAAATATATTTAAATGAACACAAATAAAAATATTCTCAGTTAATGTCATTAATTTCATTTTTACTTTTTTTTCTTTCATTTTTAACTAAATTTATTATTTATTTTATTTTACTTTTGTAACAAGAAAAATATTGTAATATCCACCAAATTTAAAATGTATATATTACTTGATAAAATAAAGTTTTTTTACTGATAAACAAATTTCAAGGAACTAAATGTCATAAAATAATTCTTCAAAATTTCAAACCAAACTTATTTTCCAATTTTTTGTTTTTAGAAATAATTTTTCAAACTGACAAATCAAACGCATTTTTAGTAATCTTAAAATAGACACTAACAAAAGAAAATAGAAAATGAACTTAAAATTAAAAATTGAAACACAAATCATATTGCCCTAATTATCTCCAATAAACTAAGATCAATCATCAACTTTATGAGAAATATACAATCAACTTGATATCATTATGAAATCCACCCACCCAACCACGTACATTTAGAGTTTGTTTGTCTCCCATTATTGGAAGGAAATTAGTGTAATGAATAGTATTTTTTGGAGAATGTGTAGTTAAAAATTAAAGTAACTTTATTGGTTTGTGTGTAAAATATTTTATTGAGTGAATGTGTAGTGGAAAATCTTACTGTAGCAAATAATTTTTTGGATTAATGGTAGACAAACAGGAGCTTAGATTTTTCTGTTTGAAATTTTGAAGGTGTGAATTAAAATTTTGAAATAGTTTATTAATGCAAAAAAAAATATTGTGTATTTAGTCAGGGATGGACCCAGCCCGCCATCCTAGCTCGGGCGGACGTTGATCGGTCAATGCCGATCGGTCAACGCCGACCGGTCAACGTCGACAATCATAATAGAATTTATATTATGGTCACCCAAAAATCCTCTAAACATCCCACTGTATCTCTCTTCATATCTCAATTCCTCTAAATCCATATTCTGAGTATCAATCAAAATTTCATATCAATACAATTTATATCCCCAAAATCCAGAATTTAATTGAAAATTTACATACTAATATATATTTTCAGCAATAACAGTCACTTAAATTAACATAATAGATACATTTTTCAAGCAAAATATGAACTGTTAAGACATATTTTTTGTTGAAATCATACTCTGAACTTATTATATTCCTCCTTCACTTTTCTAGTTGACCGAACATTAATAGGCCCCAAAAAATCCTCAAAAAGCTTCCTGCATATATAAAAAAACTCAATTCATTCTCACATCTATATCAAATCCCGCAGACCAGAACTAAAGAAAATTAAAAACAAAAAACACACACGCACACGCACACACCATGAGATTTGCTCAGAAGAAATGTCGCTGCATCTCCTTCATTCAAAATGTATTTTGCTTTAATCAGCTCCACATCCAACTAAAAACCAAAACACAAGATCAGAAATAAACACACACTACACATGGCGTTCACTTTTCTTCAGTTCTGGTCACTTCCTCGTTCTCTGCCTGCCGGTTTCAATTTAGGGATTGAGAATGACGGATTGTATTTGATT